GCACTTTTATGAAAAATACAGTGTATTGCTTGGTCAATATTCTAGCAAAATATAGGTACTTGTACGATACATATTTGAAACTGGTTGGTTCAGTGATGTGATCACTTTTAGGATCTGAGAAATAAACGTTTTAGATATGTTCCATGTAGATTTTCGTAAATGTAATAAAAGGAAAATGGGCCTTTTAAGGATATAATGGAAAAATGATTATTTAAGAGCATAATTCCTTTTCCTTTCATTTTTCTTTCTAAGGTGTAATAAATTGAAAAATGTAGGGGAGCACTATAAGTGATCTACTTAAAGCATAACTTTTTTTTTTGCTTTCGAAAAAAGGAGTTATTTTGATATTTTTCATCCTTTGACTGGAACCAGGGGGGGGGACTAGAAGGCTTAACCCCCAAACATTATTTTTGCAAAGATATACACAATATAAGCATTGAAAAATGAGAATTACCTTTATTGTGGTTAAGTCCCCCACATCCACCCTAGCCCAACCACTTTCAATTTGCTACCGACGTCTATTTATAGGAAAAGGGTTTGGCTGGGAGACTTCTACCCGTCTTCTCTTCATTCTCGATAAGGGAAAATGAATTAAAAAGGTTTTCTTAAAAGATGTAATTCATAACAATTAATGCTCTCTTTTTTCTTAAGTATAAGTTCATAATTTTTGTTTATTACAATTTTTTTTTCAAATTGCGTGAATTGTCTCTATAGTAAAAAATCTTAATGTATTTTGAAAAAAAAATTTAAGTGCGCAGAGTCGGTGATAATTTAACGCTCTTATAAGTTTTCTTTTAAAGTGCGTTGTTTTTTTTTACAATTTAAACGCACTTTGACTTTTTTTTCCAAAGTGCGTTCTTTTTTTCAAAGTGCGTTACCACAAACGGTATTGCCCATTTTCAAAATGACGTATCATCTTTGTACATGCATATCCTTGTGAACGACATGGTCATAGAATTTTCTTAGAATTGACTTACATGGCTGGCATTTTCCATCTTTATAAATATAATCCGCCATACAGACACACGCGTGTTCTCTACAGATAGTACTGTTGGTTGTTCCATTGCATTGTTCGTCATAGATACAGATGTCATTAACTTTCAATCCACCTAAATAACCATTTGAAATAATAATTGCGTCTTTTATCATATATATAATTTTTTTACAACTTGAAAATGCTTTATTGCACAAGCTTATTAACGTTTATTTTAAATAAAAGACATAATAATATCTCAATATTTCACGAAAAAAAAAGACAATATTTCTTTATAAAGGTATTTATGGAGGCTTTTAAAAAAAAATAGGGAATAATTCTTCAAATCAATAAATTCAAAATAAAAAAAGGAACTTACTTTTCAAGCAATGACCATCAATTTCTGTAAATCCGTTAATACACGAACAGATAGAAAATGTTCTGTCACATTGTCTGTTGTAACTAGTCTTTATGCATTGAATATCTTCTTCACATAATTCTCCCAGATTTAATTCAACTTTTGAAATGAAAAAAAAAAACAATCGAAGGATAAAAAAAAAGTATAGTTATTAAAAATATTATGTTTCTTATTTCGTATTTTTTCTTTTTGTTATCAGATATCAATTGTTTCCTTTTTGAAGCCAATTAAAAATAACCAAAATCATTTATTGATAATTACAGTTTTATGTCAAAAGCAGTGAAAAACTACTAATAAAGAAATTTTTGATTTTTCTTTTCCCTCTCTACAGGTGCCATCAACTTGAACTTCGTCGGTTCCATACATGTATAATGAGCACTGTGCATTGTTAGAACAGTCTTTGTTATTTCTACAACTGCCTTAAATGTGTCAAAAAATATGTAATTCTTTAAAACAAGGAATAGATATTCAAAGGAAAATGATCATAGAATATCACCTATCATGTTTTTTTTTCTAATTACCCCCAACATTTGCAGTAATGTAGGCATCGTTTTGAATAGAATAATTAAGACTTTAATTACATCTTAATTACATCTGTAGAAAGAGAGGAAAATTATATTATCTACTCATTTTACAATCAAATGGGGTTTTGTTTTATTATCAATTGATTTTTTTAGTACATTGCAAAATTATATCATGGCGATAAGTATAATCTTATCTTTAATAATAATTAATATATAAAAAATAGGTTCAATACCTATAGTAATGAAGGTGTGCCCGATTTAGATTACCATTCGTAATTCTTTCTTGATGATAAACTGATATCAAATGATTTCTTTTAGATTCAACGTTTTAATCAGTGATAAACCTATAGCTGCAAAACTGTAGCTTTCCGAAAAATAATAATATATTGACAGACTGGAAAGCTACATTTACATCCATTGAGAAGAAAAGTGTATACTTATTGCACACAAAAATGCGTCGTTTCTCGATTTATTTCGCCATGTTTCAAAAATTGCCATCCAAAAATATTACTTACGATACATTCAAGAATCATTCTTTTACTACTCAACAAAACATGCCTTGTGACCGTTGTAAATAGCCCTCGTGGGTCTGACATTGAGACCATGGAAAATGTTTCCTCTCTACACTGCAATTTGTGCCGCTAGATAATTCTGTCCATCGCTCTTCGAGCAAATATCAAATGCGAAAATAGTTTATTATAGCCGATAAATATTTTACAAAAGAGCTTTTGTACATACTAGCTGAAATAAGAATTCAGAAAAAATAATCAAACATCGAATGCAACGTTTTGTGGGCATTCATTATACACTTTTTTCTAGGAGTGGCACTGTACCTCTCTGGTCGTCCATCCAATTTTTTTAAGACCAGTGAGCTATAGATCTGCATTTTTGATAATCAGAAATGTATGCATATGGTTGTAGTTTTTAACGAAATATTTTTTTCTTCATTTTTTGAAATGTATTATCCAGATATCATGAAAGGAAGGGATCATATATACATATAGGGTTATATTTATTTTTCTTCAATATTCCAGGAAATACAGAGAAAAAATTAAATGCACCTTACCATGGATCTCCTGTTCAACTTTATGAAAAATGTTTCAAATGTACGATCCTGAGCATTGGCACATGTAATTTGTTTCTAATTTGTAAATGGCATGACTTTTTTCTTGTTAAAAATTTCTAGTTTTGCCAGATTAAAAGAAAACTTCATCGAATCTTTTCCGGCATCATCGTATTTGAAAGAAACTTCGGAAACTTCATTCGAGTCACATAATACAAAGTTCGATGTATCCAAAATGGTAAAAATGACATTCACTGGATACAATTTTCAACCCATATCTATAAATCAATACCCTTACATGAAAAAGGATTATTTAAGTTTAAAAGAGAGTATTTATTAAGATAATTATTAAGATACAAAAAAATATTTCAATCTGTGAAAAAGGTTAACATACGATGAAAAACCCCAAAATACAAATCCGTAAACAGTACATCAACATATGGTCAGGGCAAATAAAAAGTTCGAAGTAGTTGTCCATTTGAAGAAAAAATTGACTCCTGATCATCGACCATTTATTTCGTTCATGAAAAATACATATCATACATTCTCTTTAAACAATTTAAGAAATTAAACACGTTGCTCATGCTTTCAATATAATGAAATAAAAGAGAGTAAATTATTATTATTATTTTTTAAAATATTAACGAACAAAATCTTCCCCTCTAATATGAGACCCAACAATGTAGAAAAAAATGAGGTATGTGCGGAATACATTTCAGGCAAGCATATAATTTATTTTCTGTCAAAAATCCTTGGACAATTCAGTGGTAAATAATGGTTTAGCAAACGTATAAAAAAATGCCAGCCAGAATTTGACTTAATGATTAATGACACACTGAATTAACGACTGATTATTTCCAGATCATGACTAGGAGCACATGACGGATGTGACCGGTGGGCAACGAATGCTCACTTCTTCATGGCATCTGATCCCACCTCTGATGTTTCGGAGATTCGTGTGCTCTGTTCCTATTTTGTAATGTTTATTTGTCATCTCTCGAGAAGGACACATTAAGTTTAAATTTCGGATATGAAGTCCCAGCGTAAGCTGTCATTAATTAACCGGTAATCCTCGGCTAACACCCCTACTCTCCTTACAAAAAGTGCAAAGCACCAGCCATTCAAAAAGCGATTCAGTTTTCTAAATAAAGACTAGAATAAAGAATTGAATAAAAGTGGCATTCTTCATAACATCACGTCAAAAACCTTTTTTTTACAGGACACGAGTCCTGTTGTTGTCATTGTTTGCATATTTACAGGGAGTGTTCAGTTGGTTTAGGATGTACACATCACTGAACAAGCCCTGACAATTTTGTTGAGTTGTTTTCGCGCTCTCATATTAATTTTTATACTCTGAACATACCTTGATGTGGTTTTCCTATTTTTTAAATTTTCCTAGATGCACAACAGCCTATTTGCTTTTCTTAAATATTATTAGTAAAGTTTGCTTTGCTTTGCGAAATTGCAAGGATATTGTGTTAATCAAAAGCACCTCGGACTTTGTAGATTTCATAATTTCCAGATAAAAGAGGTTTCTAAACACGATTTTAATATATTTCGGTGTTTACGTATAATAATGCTTTAGCAACATATGAATTTTAAATCTGCGCCCAAGATCCCGGCTTCTTGAGTTCTCATAACCTATAACTATTTAACTGTTCACAGCAAGTCCTCTCCCTTATCCTCAATTTTTGTTAGAGTATAGTCTAATTAATGTGTTTTTATTCAAAGGGTCTATCTGCTTGATATAGCTGAGAAAAAAAATGTTACATTCCACGATTTATTCTGTAACATCAATGAAACCAAAGAGATGACAATTCAGGCTTTCTAGAAATCCAAACATGTGGGCTTGTGAGCTTGAATACTGTTCTTTATCTCCAAATATTTCCTTGTATTTTGCTGATTAGGTCTTTGTATCGACGTACCACAGAACTTACAAAATAATGACTTTAAACGAGAAAAGCGGGAAAGGCATTTTATTCTATACATGCCGTTGTGTAAATTTTAATTAAAAAAAACAGCATTTACTTGTTTACCACTCCATTACTTTTCCTAGTGTACTTTTGCATACTAAATCTTCTGTGTTGAGGAATTCCGCTGCCTCACCCAGACAAATATAACTGTAACGAATAATTTGTGAATTTGACAAAAACAGAATTGTATTTTCTAGTCATGAGAATCTAGCGTATTATAACAATTAAATACAATATTCAAATATACTTATTAAGAAATAATCAAAATCTTACGTTTTGAATTCATAGTTATAGACTCCAGTGATTGATACGAGAAGATGCAGCAGTCTAAGCCAAAAATCTGTATAAAGTTATTGTAAAAAGTTTCTAATATCACAATAGTTTAAACTTTTTGCATTTTGATGGGGGTCTATTCAATGTATCATTAGATATAAATAACATTCTTATAAATAAACATCACACGAAAACACTTTTTTATCATTATTTCTTTATGCAGAAATTAATGTTCTATTTATCATCTTGAAAAGGATATAATTAAAGTATAATAAGCACCTACATGTAAAGTACAACTCTATGGTCACACAGCGGACATCAAATCTTAAAATTATTCATTATTTGTTTATATTTAGTTGTATCTTACATCAGACGATAGACCGACATGGGAAATTTAGTCCCAACTCAGTGAGTTGGTAAAACATCTTGTTTATATAGAAATCATCATTCTTATAATTAAATTTACAAGAACTGCGAATTTATTTCTGCTGTACACAAATAACAGTAAGCTTACTTTATCTGAGTAAAAGAGTTCCATTTTAAATTTGGAAATTCTTTAAATTCATTTGTCAGCATATAATATTCTAAATATTTTATAACAATGTATTTGATTCGTTGGATATTGTCTAACTTCCTTCTTGCGAATTTTTCACTCATCCGGAGACGTCATCGTATGCCAGTGAAGGGCTCAAATTTAGACCTATACTCGGCACTCAAGGCCATTGAGCAGTGAGGGTTCTGTATCGTGCCAGCGCCCACCGTGACACGGGACCTACGTTTTTAAGGTCATATCCGAAAAACCCGTGACTTTTACTTCTGATGCCGAGCGCTTGGCGAAGTAACAGTCACTACCTATTTTTACGTCTTAGGTTTCACGCGGCGCCGGGAACGGGAATCGAACCCGGGCCTCCCGATCAGGAAGCGAACGCTCTACCACTAGGCTACCGTGAACGGTCAATATATTTGAAGAGTGATATGGAAAAATGAAACCACTGAAAAACAAACGTTGAAACCAATTTTTTTTTTCAATGGCAACTACACGTAGGCCTACGACTTTTCAACATTGAATACAGATCCCCATAAACATATTCAAAGTCAAGAATATTTTTTTTTAATTTTGTACATTTCTTTTTATAAATTAGCGAGATTTCTTACCTCTCATATGTCGACTCCACATATCCTTGTATATTTTAAAAGAAAATCCCAGAATCTGTGCATATTTTTTTTTTCATTTTTGGATGATTTATAAATCAGTGTACATGTATAGACTAAAAAGGCCAACTAACAGCTTAATATGGTATTTGACGTCGGTTTTCCCACCCTAAACTTTCGTTTTTATGAAGTTGTTTTCCGCTATCACGTATTATATAACTTTCATACTTCCCGTCTTATTCAAAATTAAAGAAAATGCTTCGAACACTATGACAATTTTCACTGGGCAGACTATTTTCATATACATTTAAGTTGATGTTGAAGATTTTTAACAACGTCGATTAAAGACAACATTTTGTTAGTTTTAGTTTTGTTCAAATGACCTTATTTACAATTAGAAACTTGTAATGGGTCATATCCTGGTTGACTTGTTTCATTTAAATTGAAAGGCCTTTATTTCGCAGAAAAATAACTTTTTAAAACTGAATTTCTCTTAATATTTTTCTTGATAAAGCTGAATCATTATCAATAATCATAAATACTTATTAAAAAAACATAGTATAATCTATTTTAAATTACTGAATTAAGTTTGGTCGCATCAATGAACAGTTACGTGATAAATGCATAGTATGTATACTAAATAGAGGTCACAAACAAATTTCAATATCGCAAGGGCATACCCTTGTTGAAAATGAAATGTCAAGCTATTATTTGTTTCTGCATATACCTTGTAGTTTCTAAAAAGTGGTGATACTTTAAATACTAGTAAATTCGCTGTTATTTATTAAAATTTCATGTAAATAGACGCATGTCGAAATATAGCTGACCTTTACCTAGTATTTTGTGTACATTTAGAGTCATGCTCTCGGTTCAAAGCAGTGCTTAGCACTTTGAAAGTTAACGAAAATATCAATATGCAAAAAATGGTAAGGATCTATTAAGTGTATACCCTTGCGAAATGGCGAATTAGTTAGAGCCATCGATGTTATATATGCGAAACATGTACCAAAACACATTAAAATTCATTAAATAAATTCTCTCGATATTTTTTTTTTATTGAATAATCACACTAAACAGAGGGTTTACAATTGTATCAATAGCCTACCGGTATCTAAAATCTGTAAATAATATATTGTTATACATGTATAATGAAATGCAGTTTTCAATATAAAAAATACTTGACTGTTTATCACAGCACATAAAATAGGTCACTTTTATCAAATTTAATGATGTCTTGTCGACAAGTTCGTTAATTGCGATCACCGATTTGTATACTGTGTGGGATTTATTAAACAGCTATTTTTAATGTATTGACAGGTTTTTTTGTTGTTTTTTTTTACTTATACAGCTTGACGTTGCAAATTATTTCATTTTCTTGTATTATGAGACATATCTATATTTCTGGGATGTCAACGTACACGTAAACATTTCCCGTAAAAGGTAAGCCATGCCCCCTTTTGAGGCCTTAACAATGTTGCGTTGCATACCAAATCTCATTACAGATTGTCCTATCCACCTTATCAATGCTCTCGACAGTTTTTGAGTGGTTAACAGGAAATGTTTTTCATCTAGGCACCCGATCCCAGCTTATTATTTTGGGATTTCCATGTTACGAAGACTGTTCAATAAAAATGCCATCGGTGCTCAGAACCCCCCCCCCCACCCCCCCACCCCCGGTTTCAATGATTTAGTCTTAATGATTTCACTTATTTTTTTTTCTTTTTAATTTACCCTAACAAAAAAATACTATAGTTAACTATAGTTAACTATAGTTTACTATAGTTAACTATAGTGATAACTTTGACACTTTGAAAACTTTGATTTACTATAGTGATAACTTTGACACTTTGAAAAACTTTGACGAAAACTTTGACACTTTGAAAAACTTTGGCGAAAACTTTGACACTTTGAAAAACTTTGACAAAAACTTTGACACTTTGAAAAACTTTTACAAAAACTTTGACACTTTGAAAAACTTTGGCGAAAACTTTGACACTTTGAAAAACTTTGGCGAAAACTTTGACACTTTGAAAAACTTTGGCGAAAACTTTGACACTTTGAAAAACTTTGACAAAAACTTTGACACTTTGAAAAACTTTGGCGAAAACTTTGACACTTTGAAAAACTTTGGCGAAAACTTTGACACTTTGAAAAACTTTGGCGAAAACTTTGGCGAAAACTTTGACACTTTGAAAAACTTTGGCGAAAACTTTGACACTTTGAAAAACTTTGGCAAAAACTTTGACACTTTGAAAAACTTTGACGAAAACTTTGACACTTTGAAAAACTTTGGCGAAAACTTTGACACTTTGAAAAACTTTGGCAAAAACTTTGACACTTTGAAAAACTTTGGCAAAAACTTTGACACTTTGAAAAACTTTGGCGAAAACTTTGACACTTTGAAAAACTTTGACGAAAACTTTGACACTTTGATTTACTATAGTTAACTATAGTAAACTATAGTTAACTATAGTTAACTATAGTTAACTATAGTTAACTATAGTATTTTTTTGTTAGGGTAAACACGTCTGTAACATTTTAACCCAATTTCTAAGTGTTCTTAGAACACATTTTTGAATATTATACTTTCATGTAAATTATTTGAATCTGATTGGTAGGGAAATATTTGTTAAAAAACAAATTATTACCCCCTGAATAATGAAGACACTCCGTCCAGCGTAGCAACAGTCTACATTGCTTGACGACGGATAATATTCCAAAAAATAGCGACAGCGCTTAATTTATGAGCGCATGGTTCACTGTAATGTGTATTTGGATAAAACATTTAGTATAATATAATAAATATTGCATGTAGTTGAGTGAAACATTGAAAATGTTCACCCCTCGAAAACCATTGTTAACGTCGGCTGCGCCTCGGTTGACAATGATTTTCTTGGGATGAAAATTTTCAATGTTACACTCAACTACATGCAATATTTATATATTATTACACTACGTATACTAAAATATGACAGATCCTATGATTTCCTGTACTTGTTTTTCTCTGAATTTTTGTTTAACTTTGGAAAATGAAACGGATCAAAGGTTGATATCCGGCGAACATTGCTGGTGTGATAAAACATTAACTTTCTGTTTCACTCTTCATGGCTTGAGGGTTCTTACGCTGTCATGAAGAAATTTAATGGATTTGATTCCTGACTCTGGTTCCTTCCTCTCATTAACCTTTTGATTTTTTGCAAAAAAGTTTGCTTTCTAGATTCCTCTAGAAAATGAACTGACTCCTTGAATAAGAATTTGAACAACAATTCGACTAACATTTAAGAAAAAAGCATGTAAAACTGGTTTTGTGCTCTTGCCATTCTTTGCTCTCTTCAGGCTTTTGCTGTTTTGTCAAGTGCATCTTATTGTAAAATTGTTTGCATTTCAGACAATCATGGATAAGTATACAATTTTTTATTTATGAAAAAAATTTTTAAATATTCTGCACGCTGTTGTTTTTACTCATTTTTCAAAACATAGGTGACCTTTGAGTATTCAGCTTAATTACTGTTCAATGTTTCATTAATATATTGTGAACTACCCCCCAAAATAATGCATATCAAATTTGCTTAGCGTCGTAGAGTCAATCAAACATAATCAGGGATAATTTGTTGAATTTTTGCAAACATTACATTGGTTGTTGCAAGTCCTTGTCGCCAAAGACGGTACACATTTTTGATGCCCGTTTTATAATTTTTGTTCATTAAAATCCACCTGCTCATGTGTGTATGAAATAGACATTAATTGCTGTAAATTTTATATATTTCAATTAATATTTCTTAGAGACTCTTAACAAGTTTTACAGCAGCTCTAATGAAGCGTTTAATTTTACTCTAGTTCACTTATTCTTTACCATTTATTTTTAATGCAGTATCTCGAACAGACCTTGTTTTCCAGCTTCCCACAATGAAACTATGAAATGAAAAGTGGTCAGATAAACTGTTTTTAATTCATAAAAGATAAAAAAAATGAGAGAAAGTCAAGCTTAATGTCATGTGATTTGTATGTTGTATGTCATCGAGCTCATGACATTATTTACTGAACAGCCCTTACTGAAAAGTAATCGTTAATTCCGCCCGTCCTTGCGTCCGTCTGTTACGCTTTGGGGTACCCATCTCTTATCCGCAACTCCTCTCATACCATTGAATGAAATTTGATGAAACTTTCACAGAATCTTTATTACACATTGCCATTGCATTTGTGCACCTCCTATTTTACTTTTTGATCCGATACATATTTTAGGTTTTACGGCCACAGCAAAACATGGACTTTGCCATTATAACTATATGGCGGCGGGGGTATCATTTAGTGAGCTCATTGCTCATAGTACCTCTAGTTTTCACTGTCTTGCCTTGTCTGTGGTTTTAATGAGATAGAAAACTGTTATCATTATGCATTTCATTATTTAAAAACAATCGGTTTTCATACAAAGTGTTCGGCCGTTCCTTCCATACTTAACTCATTATTTTATTTTCAAAGTCCCCTTTCCTTTATCCTATCCGTGATCTAAGTACTTTAAGGATTATTTAAGGTATCTGTTGTATTTCTAAGCATGAAAACTGCCTAAATAATGTGTAGTGTAATAATCTTTCTAAAGTGAATAGATATGCATTTTTTTATAATATGATCTCAATGTTTCTCGATAACCTTTCATTACGTTTCATTAAAATTCTTTCAAATAGTAATATATTTTCTGAGGACTAAGCATTGTAGTAGAGGTTTCCCTACATGTTTTATGTATCTTTTAATTGTTATAAATCATGAAAATTCAAATTTACTTTTATGATCAAATTTAAAGCAGATCTGTTCTTCAATTTTAATTTTATCAAAAAAGCATTTTAAACATGTCTTTTCATAGATTTATAATAGTCCATGAGCCACCGGGGGTGGTCGGTACCCTTTTAGGTGAATAAACTTTATAGTGTTATTGGTAAGAATTACCCCTAACTAGCAATAAAATGTGTATACACCCCTACTAATGTTATTGTGATTTAAATTCAAAACACGTGGTTTAGGTTGATCTATTCAAAGGTTATAGGGTAGAACCGGTTTTATAAATAAAAATGGCAGTAAACAG